AATGGTAGTGCTTTTCACTGTCCTTGAAAACTCCGCTTTTGTAACCACAGATATGCCTTTTACCTTTCTCATCTTCTTCCAAAAGGACTGCTCCCCAGTAAAAATCACTTGCATCCGTTTGTAGGATTCTTTTGCCTTTTGATGGAATCTTTAATGCTGGCAAGGTCTTCGAAATTCGTTTGAGCTCCTTTACTGCTTCAGTGCATTTTTTATCCCAAGTAGGGGCATTTTTCTTGAGTTGAGCAGAGAGTATCGATCTGTGCTTCGCCAGGCCGTGGATGAATTCCGACATGTAATTGACAATGCCAAAGAATTGTTGGATTTGCTTGAAAGAGAGGTTTTCGTCAGGGAACTCATCTAGTTGCGTTGCAATATGAGGCTGAAGATGATATTCTCCTTGAGAGATGTGCATACCCAGAAAATCTATCTCTGTTTCTCCAATCGCCATTTTCTTTTCAGAAAGCATGACTCCATATTGTTGCACAATGTTGTGAAATTTCGCCAGTAGTGCTGTATGGGAATCAATGTCCGAAGAGAATAACAGAATATCGTCGATGTAGACCAGTGCGTTCGGGAGGATTGGCTCAAAAATCTTGATCATGGCTTTTTGAAACAGTGAAGGTGCGACCTTTAATCCAAACGGCATGACTTTCCAGTGGTAATGTCTATCTGGTATGCAGAAACCTGTTTTTGGTCTATCTTCTGGTTTGATTCCAAGTTGCCAAAAACCTGCTTTCAGGTCAAATTTGGAGAAGACTTGTGCTTGGGGAAGTCTTTGGAATAGGACTTCTCGCTTTGGTAGAGGAAACTTGTCATCCGCAAGGAAATGGTTTAGCGGTTGGTAGTTGATGACTAACCTTAGTTTTCCTCGTACTTGTTCAGCTCTTTTGTTGACATAGAAAGCTTCACATGCCCACGGTGAGGTGGTTTTCTCAATGAGGTCTTCTTTTTGGAGTTGGTCAACTTCCTCAAGTGCCAAATTGTAATGGTCTGGATTCATTCCCGGATGGCTTGCTTTGGTTGGATTGACATCTTCATTCTTCTTGAAAGGTAACGATATAAAGAAGTCCGGGTTCTTCCATAATGGTGATGAACACTTTGTGAGGAACTCTGAATGTGAGGCAGCGCAAGAAGTTCTGATGATATCTTCTTTGACGGGATTGAGAATCTCCATAGGGTAAAGATGAGAAACAGTAGTCCATGGTAGTAGATGATTCTTGTGTTTAAGCCCTTTGGGATGCCAAGATACTCTTTTGAGACCATGAAGAACATCAAACCCAAGTATGAAGTCTTTTCCAGGTAGTTCAGACCCATATACCTTAGATTTGATCATGTATCCCGGAAAGAGTTGGATATAGATGGGCTTACTGATTAAGGAGATGTGGAAAATCTGACCATTTGCCGCCTTAAAAGCCACCGAACAGGGATTCCAGTGAGAGGCTGGAAGTATGTCTGGCTTGATGATGGATGATGCCGCTCCCGTGTCTAGATAAGCTATGACTGGGATTGGTTTGTCATACTTGGTCGGGAAGATGTAGATTTTGGCGTTGGGCGATGGTTGAGATATGAATGCCAATTCTTCCCTTTTCGGTTCTTCAACCTTGCAGGCATCAAATGTGTAGAGGTCAAATAGCATGAACTGGTCATCGGCGTCTTCTTCAGTACTTGATTCATCTGAAGAGTCTTTATCTTGTTCTATACCCATAGCTAGGATTGTGTCGTCTGATGGTTCATCGTCAAGAGAGAAAATGGATTCAATGTCGGAGTCATCGATATCTTCGATTTGGGCCAAGTATCCGAGTAGATTGTCTCTCTTCTTCTTGTTTGGGCATTGTTTTGCATAATGACCTTTCTTCTTGCAGATGTAACATCTATCTGATTTCTTGAAACCTCTTTGTGACTTTTCCCTGAAGAACTTCCACTTCTTTTTCCCTGAAAATTGGGGATACTTCTTCTGCCATTTCTTTGTGAATCTTCTTTCTTTTTTGTAACTTGTTGAGCATCCACACTTCTTCTGTTTGCATTTAATGGATAGATCTGGACGATCACATGCTCTTCCGAGGAGTTTTCCTTCTTCTTGCATCGTCTTTAAAAACTTTTGATGATTGCATAACTTTTCTAGAGCTGCAAGAGACGTCTGGAATATTTCTCCTAAGGAGGCTTGACCAAGATTTGCATTCTTGAAAGATAGCAGCCTAGAGGTCTCGTTTCCAAGTGGTTCTGGAAGAGAGTTTAGGTATGACTGCTTGAGGTTGACGTCATCTATCCCGTTTAGGGCATAGTATCTTTTAGACATCCTTTCATAGTGCTTCTCTAGGTCTTTTCGTTTGAAAGAACAACATTTCATGCTGAGGTATTCTTCTCTTGCTTGGTCTGTGTAGTGATTCCATGCTCCAAGAAATTCATTGTGGATGTGCCCGACCAACGCATCAATTGAAGGAGTTTGACGTATTTGCAACTGTCGGTACTCACCAAGGCTTATCCACCATTGTCTGAGTCGTCCTTGGAATTTGGAGACTAGTTTATCAATGACCGTAGGGAGGGTGGCTCCTGGGTGGAGTAGATGTTCTGTAAGCCAAGCGTGCATCTCATAGATCTTTTGACGAAATCCCCCCATCAAAATGGCGAGACAAGATCTATGAGATGCACGCTTGGCTTACAGAACATCTACTCCACCCAGGAGCCACCCTCCCTACGGTCATTGATAAACTAGTCTCCAAATTCCAAGGACGACTCAGACAATGGTGGATAAGCCTTGGTGAGTACCGACAGTTGCAAATACGTCAAACTCCTTCAATTGATGCGTTGGTCGGGCACATCCACAATGAATTTCTTGGAGCATGGAATCACTACACAGACCAAGCAAGAGAAGAATACCTCAGCATGAAATGTTGTTCTTTCAAACGAAAAGACCTAGAGAAGCACTATGAAAGGATGTCTAAAAGATACTATGCCCTAAACGGGATAGATGACGTCAACCTCAAGCAGTCATACCTAAACTCTCTTCCAGAACCACTTGGAAACGAGACCTCTAGGCTGCTATCTTTCAAGAATGCAAATCTTGGTCAAGCCTCCTTAGGAGAAATATTCCAGACGTCTCTTGCAGCTCTAGAAAAGTTATGCAATCATCAAAAGTTTTTAAAGACGATGCAAGAAGAAGGAAAACTCCTCGGAAGAGCATGTGATCGTCCAGATCTATCCATTAAATGCAAACAGAAGAAGTGTGGATGCTCAACAAGTTACAAAAAAGAAAGAAGATTCACAAAGAAATGGCAGAAGAAGTATCCCCAATTTTCAGGGAAAAAGAAGTGGAAGTTCTTCAGGAAAAGGTCACAAAGAGGTTTCAAGAAATCAGATAGATGTTACATCTGCAAGAAGAAAGGTCATTATGCAAAACAATGCCCAAACAAGAAGAAGAGAGACAATCTACTCGGATACTTGGCCCAAATCGAAGATATCGATGACTCCGACATTGAATCCATTTTCTCTCTTGACGATGAACCATCAGACGACACAATCCTAGCTATGGGTATAGAACAAGATAAAGACTCTTCAGATGAATCAAGTACTGAAGAAGACGCCGATGACCAGTTCATGCTATTTACACAGTGATAACCAGGGGTCCTGCCACATTCTCACTGAACTACCATTGCCTATGGACCAACCTAAGCCTTGTCGAAGCAAGTCCCGACCAATCAAGATTCCTCTCCAGCCATGAGACGCTGTCGCCGGTGACTTGCACTCCAAGAAAGAGGAGGAGTTGCAGTATTTACCCATCAAAATCCTTGCTAACAGAGAATTGGGATTGTTGAGGATCCTCCAACCAATTTTTGCTAAAAAAGCATCATTAAATTTAATTTGAGTTTCTTAACAATGTTTTTATTGACAAAAAAAAAAATTATTGATATTTGATATAGTTTAGTTATATAATCAAATTTTAATGTTATCACTACGTCATTTTACCAAACCAAAATTAAACAAACAAAATTATCACTACGTTCTCACTCAATCAACAAAGAAGACTAAGGATTCGCCAACCACAAAATATGACAAGATTGCCGAGATCATCTCCCATCAAGCATCACTACTAGAGTTATTTACATCTCGAGACCGAGGAGTTTTCCGGTTAGTTGCAAACGCCATCAAAGTATCAAACCTATGATCGTAAACGAGATGAACGATCTTGTTACCACCCCGAGCAAGGAGGAAGAGTAGTCCTCTTTCATCCATGCAGAAAAAAAATTCCCGGGCCTATGGGTTTTTTGACCGACTTCTTCCGCTCATATTATGATTCATTTGTGGAGACTGTTATTAAAGAGATGCAAGGCTTTTTTTGCAATCCATAAACTTGACGAGAACAACAAGTGAAGCCCGTTTTGACTAAAAGTCCAGAGACCAACGAAAGTGGTGGATTAATAGTCTATCAGACTTGCAATGTATACTATATGATCATTACAAAGATCCTTACTAACCTTGAATTTGGTAACGTGACTTCCAAATTCCAATGACCAAAAGGTCCAAAACAAAAGGAATGCTAAAATTCGCTTAATGATGTATCTCCAACCAAATCAACACGTTTTGTCCGTTGATTTGAAAGTCAAATCTCTTGCTTCCATAACTTTCGCATTTTGTATCTTCAACCAAAAATAACAGGTTTCCAGCATTTTGCATCTTCAACCAAAAATAACACGTTTCCAGCTATTTTTCTTTTCCGTAGATAATACGTTTCCATATTCCAAGTTAATGAACCAAAAAAAAAAGTTATCATATATTTTAGAGTCTAATACATGAAATCCAAAATACACGACAACATGACGTTGAATTTCTTTATTTAAAAGAACAAAATAAGAGATTTATTTCTTTTCTTTTGCCAAAAAAAAAAAAAAAAAAAAATCTAAATTGAAAAAAATACAAGACAGACAAATTATTTACAAAAAAAAAACAATGTTCGTCACTTGCATTTGCGTTGAACTTTCAGTCTTTTTGTGACCCTACCATAGTACCATGCCAATCATTTATCATCAATACATCTTCCCAACGGAACCGTCAGCTCAATGACGGCGTCGGCGTCTTCTCACCATTCCCTCAACCTCTGATTCGGTCAACGCACCGTTAAACATCCTCATGTCTCCCACACTAATCTCTCCTCCGACGTCATCACCGACGTAGATCTTTTCCACGTCACCAACGTCAACCCTAATGATCTTCCCAAGTAACCGCCCCGGCTGCTTCCATTCCGCGAGCAACGCGGGGACCCCAAAACCGACGCGTGCATCCCACGCACTCACTTCCAAGCCGTCGGATCCTTTCTTCTCCGCCGCTAATAAAACCGCCGACGACAACAACGAATAAGAGCCGCATTTGCTCAAAAAAGAAGCCACCGCGTTACGATGACTTCCTTCTCCGTTGAAATCAAGATTGTCCCAAAGCTTCACGACTCCGCTTGAGCCTAAATCTAACAAGTCTCCGAAGCTACCACACCGCCGCAACCAAGGGACATTTCCATTTATACCCTTATCATCATCATCATGGAAATAACTAAATCTTTTAACGCGTAGATTTCCATTGACCGATTCATCTTCTTTGTCATCGTCATCATCTTCGTCTGAAGAGTCTGACGCAAAAGACCAATCGGAATCGCTGTCGTAATTACACAAAAGAGTTGGGGAAGGTAGAGACACGTTTACATTTCTTAATCTAAAGACTAAAGCCTTGATTCTTGTAGTTAACGATGTGAATGAAGCAAAAAATGCAAGTAGCAATAAAGCGCCCCATTTCCAGAAACTATAAGCTTGATGTAACTTTCCGGCACCGGAGACGGCAAAAGCTCGAGACAAAACCGACGGGTCGTTTATCGAGTTTATCCCCACGTCAAAATCGCTTATTCTGTTAATCATCGGGACCTCCATGACAGAAACTTAGTATTTTTCTTGGGCAGAAAATGTTTTTTTTTGTTGCTATATTTGGTAAGAAAGAAAAGTAAAGGGAGAAAAAGAGAGGAGATTTTGGTTTATGGTCATTATGAGTATATAAAGAAAAGAAAAAAGATACGAAAGAGAGATGACGTGGTAGATAATTAGAGGATATGTGATGACAGAAGTTTAAGACACGTTGGAGAAAGGCGGCAGAGGAGGCTTTCAACGAAACTTCAGAGCCAGGAGGATAAGGCAAAAAGGTGAATGAGTCAGCCTCTGCAACATGACCATAGTTACAAGTTACTTTTGTTTTTTCGTTTTTGTTTTTGTTTTGAGATCCACATGTGTTATATTTACTATTGTTACGTTTAACCAACCATTCCGTGACGGTTATATTTTTTTGAATCGAACGGTTATATTTTTTCTAACCATAGTCTATATAGTAACATTTTTTTTTTTTTTTGGTAAAAGTCTATATAGTAACATTTGTCCAATACATGCCACACAATCATTCCATACAATCCCTAACCGTATACAAGCTACACAATCATTACATCGACCTAAACATTTGTGTTATCAGTTATCACTAAATAACTTCTAGATGAATAGTTGAATATCCTAATATAAATTAAATAAATTTTCTCATGGGAAAAATTAAATTTCCATCTTACATCGCCTAGTCCTTGTGACTCAAAAAATTCCTTTAACAAAGAGAAATTGGTTATTGATATGCAGTTTTTTTTTTTTTTTTGGTAACATTATTGATTGATATGCAGTTGGTTTTCTGTTGTACGTACTCTTGTTTTTTAGAGGTTGCCGGTTGTTTTGTTGTCCTCTTGATTTAAATCAAACTTCTAGTTTTTTTTTTGACAAAGAACTTCTAGTTTTTAACTTTTTATTGCTATGCCTTTAAGAATTCTAGTTTTTATGTACCCTATTCTTTAATTGGTTAAATTGTACTACTAGCCAGCAAAAATAAAAAGATAGAAGTACCAAACATATGATTTTAGCTTTAATTTAATTTTAAATTCTATTATTATTCGTTTCAAAAATAACAAATTTTAAAAGTAGAAAATAAAATGAAAGCACGCAAAATATTAACTTTTGGATTTTAAACATTCTATCATTACAGTTTTTCAATTAATATACACTATCTGGGATATCTATACGAGTCCCACACTCCCACTCTCGTTTTCACCTGTGAGTTTCACGCGTGCTTTTTACTGGCTAAGACTATGCTCGTACCGTGTTCCGCGGAGCAGCGTATTACTTTCACTATCTTCGTTCTCCTTTTCCATCGACGATCTTCAACCTCCGCATTGATTCCCTCTACTCCGATTCAATGTCGCTGCTAAACCAACTCTTCAACCGTGGGATCTTTGGCGCCAAATGGTTTCTTCTTCTTCTTTGTCTTATACGTTATCTCGTTTAGGATCTGGGTTTTGATTTGAAGCTAGGGTTCTTCAATAAAGTTGTTAATTTGATGCCATCGATTACTATTTTGCTTCAATTTGGATTAGAGTTTATTATATTCTTGATTGTTCACAAAACTGAGAAATTTAAGTAAAATTTGGCAGCAAGACAAGCTTGAATTTGGCGATTGCTCGAATGAAATTGCTGCAAAACAAGAGAGATATGCAGCTTAAACATATGAAGAAGGAGATAGCTCAGTTCTTGCAAGCTGGACAAGAACCCATTGCTCGAATTCGGGTCTTTCCCTTTCTTTTTTATTAAACTATTTTTATGATCCCATTCTGATTTGTGTTTGTTAATTCTTACAATGAACATCAAGTTCTTATGTTCTTGTCTGAGATTTAGGTGGAGCATGTGATCAGAGAAATGAATTTATGGGCAGCTTATGAGATACTGGAGCTATTCTGCGAGTTTGTACTTGCTCGTGTTCCTATTCTTGAAAGTGAAAAGTGAGTCTTCTGGTTTCATTTGTGATCAAAGGATAGAGTGGGATGATCCATCATAATATGTTTCTTTGGATTTGCAATCGTATAGGGAATGCCCTAGAGAGTTGAGAGAGGCTATTGCTAGCATTATCTTTGCTGCTCCAAGGTGCTCTGAAGTGCCTGATCTTCTTCAAATTAAGAATCTCTTTGGTACAAAATATGGAAAAGAATTTATCATGGTTGCTTCTGAGCTTCGTCCCGATTCTGGTGTCAATCGTACTGTTAGTATACTTGGGGGCTGGCTTCTTATTTTTTATGTTTTATATACTTTTCAAGAGAAATGCATTTGTGGATGAAGGTGCTTATAACTAGTTGGATTGTTCTGCTTTTTTGGACAGATCATTGAAAAGCTTTCTCCTACCAGTCCATCGGGAGAGGCAAGGCTCAAGATGTTAAAGGAAATTGCGAAGGAGTACAGTTTGAATTGGGATTCTTCTGCCACGGAAGCAGAGTTCATGAAGAGCCATGAAGATCTACTGGTACCATTCTCTGAACCCTCTTTTATAAATTTTAAAAGGGAAAGCTAGTCGGTCACATTCTTCGGTCCCCTAAATCAGATGTGAACTTTTATACAACTTAGCTATGTCACAAAGAATAAATGTGGTTTCTCTAAATGGAAAGAACATAGCATTGAATTGGAAACCACAACTCCAAATTTAAGAACTACTTGTAGGAATGTGCTGCCCAACATTTCTGTATGCGTCCACGGATTCTTACTTTTTCTGGTAGATATCCAATAGGCCAAAAGGAACGATAAATATATGTCTGCATAGCAATAATTGATGATTTTCCGACGCCTGGCTGTTATTGTACACAAATGATGAGTTTTCGTTCAATATAGCTTCTTCTCTCTCATGGACTTGAATGATTTTGCAAAGGTTTTGGAAACGTTTTATATCAAATGAAGTCCGTTTATAAAGTTGCTAGTTTGGTTCCATTGTCATTTGTAGGGTGGAGCTAAGCAAATACATCGTCAAGATGGCATCTCTGAATCTCGACCGTCTCAACAAGGCTACAGTCAGTCTTCAGTTTCTAGGGAAGCTGAAAGTCTGCCTGCAGAGGCCACACAGAGATTCCAAAAGCTTCAAGCTCAAAACCCAGTGAGCAAAAACATGCCATCATCTAAGCTGACTTCAGCTTCTCAAGCTCCTCCTGATACTAGACGGGATCAGACAGATGTAATGGAGAGAGCTCGAGCTGCTCTAGCTAGCGCTGATCGTGCAACAGCAGCTGCTCGTGCTGCTGCGCAACTAGTGAATGTCTCTTATGGGGCTCCTACACCCACAGTAGCAGCAGAAGGGAAGTCCTTAAACTTAACGTAGTTGCCACGTCATCATTTGTGAATAAAAGCAACTGTATTTGCTTCATACACAGAAAGAAGGATAAGATGTGTTCTTTGATACATAGGTTTGGTAAAATGAGTATGCTGAAGGAGTATTGGTAGATTATGCTCAAGTGTTGTGACCTTAGGTTGATTCAAAAGTCAATGATATTGAATGTGACATACAGATGTAATATTTTAATTTGCTACTTTTACAAAATCTATGCAAAACAAAAAACAACATTATCACGTTAAAACGCTCATTAATTATTTTTAGCCTCCCGAAGCATCGAAAGCATCTCTCTCTCATTATATATGTTAAGTCTCACTAGTCTCTATTCACAGCAAAACCTTAAAAGATGACGACGAGTCACTACAAAAACAGCATCCCTGTTGTTTATCTCTTGTTTTGTCTGTTTGTCACATCTGCGTCTGCAAGATCCTTCATAAGACAATACACTGATGGCTTCAACACAAATCTGCAGCGTATGTTATCTTATCTGCTCTTAGATCTAATCCAATATTCAAGAAGATCCATTATGTCTTTAGATTCTGTGTTAGGACTTGTGTATTCAACATGGTACACATGGTAACCATTACTCTGTATTTTTTTTTTCTTTCAAATGCTCTGTTTCAAAACAGAGGAAAATGGAGTAGGACCAATGCCAAACCAGGACAAAGGGCACTACTTACATAACAATGAAGAGATCTCATCACGTGATTATAAAGTCTCAGCTTCAAACGTAGTGAAAGGTCTGAGAGATCATCCTCCATCCTCTTACTCTCTCAAGATGGAGTCTTTCAACACGCTCCTTAAGTCAACCTACACAGAGAAATACGAATCTCGTCCTTTCTCAGTTGGTGGATACAACTGGTATGTTGGTGGTAATTAATCTGATTTTTATTTGCTCGAATCGAATCTTTAATTCATATACTACTACAACTCTTTGAATGGATCTGAAAATACAATATTTAAACAGGACACTTGTTGTGTACCCCAATGGGAACAAGAAAGACAGTGGCTCAGGATACATTTCGCTTTACGTAGCCATAGACAACTCGACCCTCGCCGCTGCACATCAAGAGATTTATGCGGATCTAAGGTTTTACATCTTCAACAAGAACGAGAGGAAGTACTTCACCATCCAAGGTTCTTGCTCATTATTTTCAATCCAAAAAATGTGATCTATATGCATAATACTAACATCTATCTATCAATTTATCTTTGTTAAAATTTGTAGATACCGATGTATGGAAATTTAATGTCTTCAAAACGATGTGGGGATTCTCTCAGGTCCTCTCTATTGATACATTCAAAGACCCGAAAAATGGATACCTTTACGATGGAGATCATTGCGAGTTTGGTGTTGACGTGACCATTCCTTTTCTATATAAAATATCTGAACTTTTCACTGTCACTGAGAATATCTATAACCCGAGATTTACCTGGAGCATTCGGGGATTCTCTACGCTTCTCAAAGACTCTTACCTATCAGATGTATTTTCAATCGGCGGAAGAAATTGGTGAGTCCAGATTATTTCAAAATAATTAAGACTTTAGAGTAGTGGTAGTAACAAGTACTTCATATTATGATCAGGAATATACAAGTGTATCCAAATGGTGATGCCACAGTAGCGGGAAAAGCCTTGTCGATGTTTCTTAACCTTGATGCAAACGAGAAATTCAGACCCTATGAGAAGATTTATGTTCGAGCCAAGCTTCGAATTCTCAACCAACGCCAATTCAATAACGTCGAAAAACAACGTAAACAGATGATACATAAACATATCTACCTATATATATAAATGTGGACACATTCGTCTTAACTGACCATGAGTGTTTTCTGGTGAACTTTTATTTTTGGCAGTTGATGTTTGGTATAATGGTCCGGGATATACAGGATTTTCTGGTTGGGGTTATAGTGACTTTATCTCACTCTCAGATCTCAAAGATTCATCAAAGGGTTTCGTTGTGAATGATGTGTTGATGGCTCAAGTCGAAATGGAAGCCATTTCTTCAACCAAGTACTTCCCTAATTAGATTTTTCTAACCAAGGAATTTCCCACATGTTCGCTTTTATATCAACCACTTCATAATTTGAATATGTATGTGTTTGTGTTTTAAATAATAAAGTGAGTGTTTTTTCTTTTATGGAAACATCATTCAAAAATTATCGCTTTTCTTGAAAGCACAACTCTTGTTCTTCTAGCATAATATGGAAAGTCACGGCCAGTTATTCATGACCATATTTCTGTTATTAAAGAAGGTTTTTTGTGCTGATATGTCAACTCACAATTATTCATTTTTTTTTCTCATTTATTTAATTATACTATCCATCTTGCCAAACACTTTTAATTCTATATATTACTTATTATTAACTAAATTTACCAAAATTAAATATTTCAAATTTTTGAAAAATTTAACCTCTATATAAAGATTTTATTAATTTTAAATACATTTTGTTCTAATTAAAAAGTTAAACAATATAAACATATAGTATATGCATTTTAATATCAACAAACTATTTCATATATTATAAAAATTTAAATTGAAACCGCAAATCTACAAACCTTAATTTATGAATGACATAGTAAATGCGACTTTATTTGTATAATATAAATAAATATTTTAAATTTAGACTAAAATGTTGTGTTATTGCATAATATTTATATAGCATTCTTTAATTTAAAAATTTTAGCACCTAGGGACTAAATATAAAAACTTTGAGTTTTTTTTTATAAATATATTCTGTCATAAATCTAAATATCATAAGATTTACTCGTGAATAGCACATATTCTTATCTAGTTTATAGCAATAGACAGTAGGTAGTATTATCATGCATGCATAATATAAACATATAAAAGACTAATTAAAAGTGATGATTGATGTAAAAAAAAAAAAATTGATTACAATTTGCGTCATTCATCTTATTCGTCTAATAGCTATTATCATCCCTTTCAGTTTTATTCCATCAATTTTTAATCAAACATATAAATCAAAAACTTATAATAAAACATATCAGTACAAAAGATTTCGATTTCAATACTAGCATGTTAGATGACATCCTTGTTCTAAAAATCGGGCTAGGCGGCCGATTAATCGGCGCCTAGGCGCTAGGCGGTGCTGTACCGATGGGTTTAATGCATAATCGGTTTAAGAAATCGGTTTACTGATTACACCCCGCGTAAACCCGATTTTTCGTCCGCCTAGACCGCCTAGCCCGCCTAGACGGCGCCTAGCCCATTTTTTTTTTTTTTTTTTTTTTTTTTTTTTTTACTTTTTTTTTTATCTACAAAACGTCCTACTTATGTTCGTAATTTGTATAAAAATCATAAATTTGAAATTAAAATCTTGTTTTCATGTGTTTAATACAATTTTTAAAATAATATTATATAAATTTCTTAATTATAATGGATTAATATGTTTTTAAAATATTAAATAGCCCTAAAACTAATCCCCGATTAATCCCCGTGTAATCCCCGATTTTCTTGCTAGGCGCTAGGCGCACCCTCACCGCCCGACTAGCGCCTAGCGATTTTTTGAACACGGGATGACATACATCCTAACTCGAAAATGTCGAAATTCGTATTCAAAACAATGTTGAAAACATGCTTTCACGTCCTTGCATCTCTACCATCCCACAACCGAATTTTGCAACAAAACTTGTCGCTTCTGAGATCCTTCGAGATGTCGTAAATGGAAACTTGGTTCTGAAATTCCCCGATGCTAACATTTTCAGTCGTTTCTGCAGGCAGATTTGTTAATACTACTACACTATTGCCAAGATTAAGAGACAATAATGCCTTGATCTTTTCCATCTATCCAAGACAATAAAATATCTCTCCTATAAATAGATTTGTACTTGAAATCTTTGAGAAAAGATCCAGAAGTGTAGAGGCTACTTGTACTTTGCTCCATATACCAATGGCAGCCAAGTCCACAACATAAGCTTCCAATCTTCCTTGATTTTCAAAAATCCCTACCAGGATTGTGTGGTTGTCGTAAATTTCGATTCTTATTTGTATCATGCATTATATGATTTAGTCTTCGTAACAGACTGCAACAAATTGGTAAAAATGATGTTTACATTGTCAACATTCCATAGTTCGATATCAAAAATTGATAGCTTGATTAGAAAGGTACCTTGAAATTTTTAAAACAGTCACGGGAACAAGTGATAATAAGTACGAGTAAAAATATTATAAGCTGGTCCGAATCTATAGAGATGTATAGGTCTTGACCCGAAATTTTCTTATTTATAATTTTTTTTACATTAGTGGATTGGTATGTTTAGTTCAAGATACATTAAAAATTTTGTGAGGAGCAATGAGTTATCTTATTTCTATTCCCGTTCTTTCATTTTGAAAACTTCAAATTCAAAAGTAGATAGTTTAGCAAGGAATACTCGATTTTGCCCGTATGACATTATTTGTGTAGAGGTATTTTTATGTAGACTACCTCTCATTTGAGTTTATGAATCGTTTTAATTAATTACTAACAGTTAACAAAATACAAAAATTACCTTAACTGTTTCATATGGTATACTATTATTTAGCACGTTAAATGTTAATCTATATTTTTTATACCAAATGAATATTTATATATATATATATATATATATATATATATATTCAATAAAATAACACGTTAGATTTCATCCAATATATAATAAAATCGAAACAAAAATTGGTTAACCTATTCAACACTATAATTTATCACATCATTGTTATAGACTTGATCAGGTTCATTGCCATTTTACAAATTAACTCAATATATTATGCGTACATTTTGTATTCTTGGCCCAATTCAGACTTGCATCACGAAAGCCCTGTTATTTCTTCACCGGCCACAGTATATAAACGTCCTTAAATGGAAACATTTATATATTCCAAAACAAAGTGAAGAAAGAAAATAAAGAATAATATTTTATTTTATTTTCATCAGAAACTAAATATTCACATCGTCATGGTCGTGTGCGTGTGACTGTGGTAGAGAAAGGTCCACTTACGACTTGCCCCTTCGCGGACACACAATCTCAACTCGTCCTTTCCAAACTACACTTTTGTCTCTTTCTCATGTACGTTTGGTCTATTTCCGGTCCAGGTGGGAATTTCCCACTATTTTAATATCCATTCCCACTTTCTAAAGCACTCAAACGAATCTCTTTTTCTTTTACATCATAATAAAGAACAACAAATGAAAAAATAAATTGGAAAAATCAAACAATTAGTACGTGTGGATATTTTCAATATCTTCTGGGCGGCATTTTGATTATTTCAACACATCAAAAAGAAAAAACTCGAGACTTATTATTCTGGTGAACCACTCTCATCAAAGATATTTTGTACCAAAAAAGGTTAATGGAGGACACGTAGGGCCAAAGGAACAGACAGATGGTGTGTGATTAAGCAACTGTATTCTCTCTCTCTTCCATGTCCTAAACCTATGTCTCCATACATACACATTCTCTTCAAAACTCATTTCTTCTTCCGATCCCCTTCTTTAAATAGCGTCTCTCTCCCTTCACTCATACATACATTGATCATATATATGAAGAAGGAGAGGAAGAGACAAGTACCGGAGGAGAAGGAGGAGGAGAGGGAGATGGAGGTGGAGGTGGTTGTGGTGGATGCATTGGCTGCAGCAGCAACGGTGGCTGCGGCTGCAGCGGTGGAGGAGGAGGAGGAATTGTGGGGGATGAGGCTTAAGGCGGGAGATGATGTGGTCGACGAGCTGATGACGTGGAGCACCGTTTGGTTGCCTTCATGTTGGGACGTGGAGTTCGTTGAGAAAAACTATGGAGTTCTGTATAATGATGTTGTGTGGGACGATGATCTTTGGAATTTGAACTCTTCCACTCAGGATAACATAAGACAAAGCTGAAGTTGGGGAGATTTTTAACGTTTTTCTATCGGTTCGGTTTTTATAGGATATTTTGGTTAATAGTATGGACCATATTGCAGTCAAAATATTCTGTTTTGATTTGGCACGGTTTCATTTCAAGTTTTAGTCTTTATATCATGATTTTTTCTCCGAAGAGTATCCCTAAATTGAGGATTTTTTCTTCTTTAAAAAAATCAATTTGGTTTTGGCTTTTTCTTTTTCTTGGTTTAGTATAAATTTTGGGGTTTCTACGGTTCAAAAATAAAACTCAATAAACCGAAATAAGTTTGTTTATGGTGTAAGGTGTGGATCCTTTTCTTTCCTTCTTTTTCTTCTTAATCGGTTGTAAACTCAAAATGAACTTATCTTTGCCAGAGATGAATTTTGGTTAGGTTGGCTCTTAGAAAACGAGCAAAACCGTTATAAACTTGACTCCATCTTTGTTCAGAAATAATCAGAATGATAGAAGTTCTAAGATCAAAAGTTTGGCATGATATGGAGTTTACGTATAAGAGCCAATACTTACTCTGTCTCTATGTATACGTAAACGGTAAACTTCATATCATTCCAACCTTTGATCTTAGAAGCTTGTATATATCTTTACAGTAATAGTATGTGTGTTTAGCCAAATATCATATCCACCATGAAATGATCAAAAGCATATTTGTTAGGAAACAAACCAACGACCCACATCGAAAGATTAGAAAATAATAGTCTAATATATAAATCAAGTTCAATTCCAATTAGTATGAATTTTTTTTGGAAAGAACCCAAAAACAAATCCGTGTGAACTTGTTTTTTTGGTCTAAATACTACTAGTGAGGGAGTCGACTTGGGCTTTTCAAGCCCATTAATAACACTTAAAAATAAAAAAATGATTTTAAAGCTTAGAAACTGAAAATTGTTGATAAGTTCACTAAGCTGGTTTTCATAGCAAACTCCAACATTATTAGATGTTTTAAATGTCTCAAATTGTTAATCGTTCTAGAAGGCATTTGATATTACAATAGTACTGCACCTGGTATATATGTTTGAAAAAATCAAGTCAATATGGAAACTTTTTGTTGACCGTATCCAACTGTGAATTTGAAAAAGAAAAAAGGAACAAAAGAAAGAAAAAGACAAATTGAATGTAGAGCTAGCCTCACTCCCAATCGGTAGTACGGTAGCACGGTAGCACACGTCAACAACGTGAGGATCTACATACATTCCTCCTATAAATCTGCCAAAAGTTAGTGATGATGAAAACAAATATCCATGCATAATATGAATGTAAAAGATACAAGGATAAAATAAACATTTAGTCATATCATGTTCGTACCACGGAAAACCATAAACTAAATTAAATGATGAACAAAATAAAAGATACGTAAATTTTTGCTTTTCAACATTTTGATAATTGCATAGATTATCGTTTACTATACTTGATATTAATTTTTTTCTCTTCTACATCTGAAAAGAAAATCTATACAACCTTGAACTTGAAAGTGGCGAATCAGTTTTTTTTTTTTCAAACTCAAATAATTCACTATAAAAGGCAAAGATGTCATAGTCCACCAAAATTCTAAGTCGGTCAAAAAATTTCTTAGAATTCAAGTTCAAGTTCAAAAAATGACTATGAATAGAATGACAGCATTCACCACACTACGTGATGTAGTCCTAGAAATATCCATGACTCATCAAGGATTGGTTCAAGGAAAATCAAGATCAAATTATAAAGAAGTTTCTAGAAGACAATCAATTCATGGCTATATCAAGAAAGTGTCTAGATACAAAGAACCAATCTCCATCAATGATGATTGATAAAATCTCTCAAATTTATTCTTGATTGATTCATGTAATTAATTTGATTTATTTTGTACTTATGTTATTGATTTGTAAATTGAGCCTATATAAGCTCATGTTTCCCTTCATTGTAAATATATAGATTTTTTGGAAAAAATAAAGAGAGAGTTTCTCACTTTTAAAAGCTTAGGCTTTGTTTGCTTGTCTTTTCTATTGTGTGTGATTCCGTTAGAAAGCAAGTTGAATCTCTATCTTTGTGTGCGATTCACATAGATATTGATTTGTGTTCTTATCACAAAGTCATTCCATAACTTTGTGTGGCGAACTTCGATCCATCCAACTATCCATCTCCATCTCTATCGAATCTGTTGAGAGTGACCTTAGTCCAGCGACAGTTTCACCATCTATTCACTTCTATCTTCATCTTCCCTTCCATTCGAATCTGTTGAGAGTGACCTTAGTCCAGCAACAGCTTCTCCATCAATCACCACGCTCGTTCTTATATCATCTGGTATCAGAGCTAAAAGCTCCTATCTCTTATTGTTTCATTTCAGTTTTATTTGGAAAAAAAAAAAAAAAAAAATCGTTTTCTGTTTTATTTAGTTCGTTTTAAAAAAATATATATACAAAAAAAAAAAAAAAACTTTGTTTTGATTTGTTGAATATCAGTTTTATTTGAAAAAAAAAAATTTAAAAATCTTTTATTTTAATTTCGTTTTTGTTTTCTTCAATATCAAAAAAAAAAAATAAAAAAAATGCACACTTTGGTTTTAGTTTTGAGGACAAAACCTTTTCAAGAAGGAGAGAGTGATGTAGTCCTAGAAATATCCATGACTCATCAAGGATTGGTTCAAGGAAAATCAAGATCAAATTATAAAGAAGTTTCTAGAAGACAATCAATTCATGGCTATATCAAGAAAGTGTCTAGATACAAAGAACCAATCTCCATCAATGATGATTGATAAAATCTCTCAAATTTATTCTTGATTGATTCATGTAATTAATTTGATTTATTTTGTACTTATGTTATTGATTTGTAAATTGAGCCTATATAAGCTCATGTTTCCCTTCATTGTAAATATATAGATTTTTGGAAAAAATAAAGAGAGAGTTTCTCACTTTTTAAAAGCTTAGGCTTTGTTTGCTTGTCTTTTCTATTGTGTGTGATTCCGTTAGAAAGCAAGTTGAATCTCTATCTTTGTGTGCGATTCACATAGATATTGATTTGTGTTCTTATCACAAAGTCATTCCATAACTTTGTGTGGCGAACTTCGATCCATCCAACTATCCATCTCCATCTCTATCGAATCTGTTGAGAGTGACCTTAGTCCAGCGACAGTTTCACCATCTATTCACTTCTATCTTCATCTTCCCTTCCATTCGAATCTGTTGAGAGTGACCTTAGTCCAGCAACAGCTTCTCCATCAATCACCACGCTCGTTCTTATATCACTACGAGAACTAACTGAAGATCATACTTTTTCAATAACGGTTCAAATCGTATAGCGGTATAGGGTCAGATATGTTTTTTTTATATATAAAATTTGGAAGGGTTATGATATGTTACCACATAAAGTAAGTGTTTTTTTGGTCAACAAAAGTAAGGTTTAGAACGTATTTTTAAGATATACAGAGCAATGGTAAGTTCCTAAACTGGTACTATAAGAAATAACGTTGGAAGTAAAAAGAGTTAATACTGAACAATGGTTGGGATCAGAGGGAAAACGTAAGATAATAAAGAGACAAAATAAATTGCGACAACTACAAGAAGAAAATGGCGAAAAGGGTAGACGACAATTTTTTTTTTTTTTAATAAGAAGACAAGTTTTGGTTTTTTGTGTTTTACTGATTTCTCGATTATTTATTCAAATCGAATATTAAAGGATGTCGCATGCATCAAATATTCCTCACGCTCTCGGTTTGACAGTCGAGTGATATAAAAAGAAGAAACTAAGTAACCACCAACTCTTTTCAATCTCCGAATCACCACATTCTCGCTTATAATTAAGTGCGATTAATATTAGTCTTTGCCCTCTGATCACCTATATGTTACTACTTACTAAAGATGTGAACAAATGAGATTTTGAAAAACGGCCACCCATTAAACTGAAAAAAAAAAGCCATAAAAAAAAAGAAAAAACAAAGTGAGACTATTATTCGTGGGAGCTCTCGCGTGGACGGGTCTGATTATTGAACCGAATAATTGCTATCAGCCCAAATAGTTATATATCAATTTAAAATCAATATTACATATTTTTATTTTTTAAAAATTATAATCAGACATACCCATGTGACCAATTGACTCCTTACCCAAAACATATCCTGTTTGCCAGGAAATATATTATCATTTGTTTAACTACACTTTTAACGAAGTTTAACACTATCATATACTCCCTCCGTTTCAGTTTAGTTGTCGTTTTAGAACATAAATTTTGTTTCATAATAGTTGTCATTTTAGGTTTTCAATGCAGATGTTTGGTGAAAATTCCAGTTTTATCCCTATTGTTTTAATGTTTTGGCCAATGAAATTTTTTATAAATATATTAATAAATAGTAAAACAGAAAATTTAATGGTTTTCTTAATTTGTGTGCAAAAACCTTAAACGACATGTAATTCGAAACGGAAGGAGTACTAATTTGTTACCTTTGATGAACTCTTCTAACAATTTGTTTATTCTGTGTATAGTCATTCTACATTATAAAATACATTTTGTTTGTTAACTACATCATAGATTATGTTTTGCGTGATTATAATCAACATTGCTACTTCCCCTCCATCGATCGATATGTCTTCGTCAGTTTTGACCACCACCGACACACTTAAACATAGGTTTAGCTCTTAGCTTCTTCCTTTTGCTTTATATGTTTCCTCTTTAGTTGTATATACATTTTCTTCGTTACATCTCCGTCGGGTAGCTAGAAATATCAATTGTCGTCTACCTAATAAATTGCATCCATTCAATTCCCAACGCTACAGAAATGGCACCTATCTTGGGAATGTAACTCATGATTATCATCTTTTCTTTGCATACATTTCTAGTTGGACCACTGCATTGCATTTATAACAAATGAATCATAAACTTAAATTTGGACCATCTAACCGAGGAATAAACAGAGAATATCTAAGGAACATGCATGTGACAAGAAACCAAAACCAGTATATAATTGAGCAAATGTTATATACGTACTATACTGTCAACAAAAAATAAAAAAGTTTTTGTATAAATATGCCCCTAATTGTAATCACAGACTAATAATATGTCACATAACAGCTATATATGTGTGAACAAAAAAAAAGAACAAAGCAGGAGACACAGAAAACGACAGAGACAGAGAGACTCAC